GGGGCAGAAAAATTGTAAGAGCCAGGGAGGAGGTGCGTGACTATACAGAAATAGTCCTACAGGTGCCTGGGACCCTTCTCATACAAACCTACAGCAATGGTGTCAGCAAGACCCATGCAAACTTAGGCAGACAAAAACCCAGCACAGAACTGTGGAAATGAACAGCAGGTTCATTACTGATTACTGCTGGGTGAGGAAGAGCTGATCTTCTTAAAGGGAGGAGCTCTAGATAGGCTGACTAGATCCCAGTGGATGAACTTGCACTGAGGGACATCTGGGGACATTAACTTTACATGACAGGCCTTAACACAAATGACAAAATGTATGAACTCCAGTGGGGGGCTATGGAAGGTGCCAAAGGGGAAGGGGGAATAAAGATGATTTTCTGTGTGAAATACACAAAAACTCAATTAAAAATTAGAGAAAAAAAAACAGGATCACAAAGATCCACACTGCCATTAGCTTTCCAAGACCACTGAGCTGGCTTATTCCAATATGGGGCATGTAAAGTGACATGGCCCAAGTAACAAGCCAACATAACCCAAAACTACCATCTTCCTTGTCCTCATTACAGACATGGAGTATCTCACATACCTGGAAGCTGCTTCCTTGGACAAAAAGAATAGGCCACCTATAAGTACAGGTTGGGGGGAGACTTAGAAAGATGACCTAGGGTCTGGATTCCGGAATTCCAACCATAGCCTACTGAGAGAGCACAGATGGATGTGAAATACAAATAAGTCAGGAGCCTAGAAGACAGCAGAGGTGAAAACATGGAAATCCAAGCATGGCTCCCCATCATCTCTGCCAAGACCCTGAACCAAGTGCCAAGGCCCTGAATGCATGTGAATCCTTGGGCTCTATAGAGATGGGGAGAAAGCCCAAAGAGTATAAGGGATTTGAGGATAGTACCAAGCTAATCAACACAAAACTCAGAGAGAGAAAGAAACTTTTTAGAAAAAAATAATAAAATTCCTTTCTGAAATCTTTCAGCAGATAAAAGGACATAAAATAATTAGACAGGAGAAGAAACAGGTCCACTGAAGGGAAGCCTGAACCTGCAGGCTGAGGCCTCTGGGCTCTAAATACTGAAGAAGAGAATAGGTCAACATCTAAGATGATGCCACAGCCCCAGAGTCAAGGGAGAGCTGGCCACAATAGTCCAGATAATCATGCATAGTGAGGATCAAAGAAAGGCACAACAACACTCGGGGACTCAGTCTGCCCCAAAGCATCTTGCCTAAGGAAACTGACCAATTGGCAGCACAGAGTGGAAATAGGAAACTACCCTGTGGTAAGTGAGGACTGGAGAAAAGGCCATGTAGAAAAGTGACTTGGGGTACACAAACCCTCTGAAAGCATACAGCAGGATGCTGAGCAAGGGACTAACAGTAAGCAGGTCACACCAGGAGGAGATAACAGGAAATTCTGCAAAGGTCACACCTTACTAGGTTGAGGATGGGGCAGAATAAATGGAAACAGCAGTTTAGTGATAGAAATAACGTATCTCAGTGGTTAAGGACAGAAAATAAATTAAAACACAGAAGAATTTTGTTTATAATTATAAGAGCAGGTAAGGGAAAAGACCACCTGTGAAATCAAAGTAAAAAGTAGACCTCAGCAAGGCACAAGAAAAATGATAAATAGCAACTTGATCCAGGCAGCAAAACAGAGATGAAGCCCAGAAACCACAGACGTGTCATACAAATAATAAACATGAACAAGGGAAAAAAATCACATCAGACTACAAGACTGGAACCTAAGTGGAAAAAATCAATTAAGTACATTTTGCAAAGGTACTTAAAATTCTAAAGAGGGATGAAAAATAGAAAACAGGTAAATGCGATCCACACACATTGATAGTAACAAAAAGAATAGAACAGGGCATAATATCAGACAAGATCAAGGCCAGAGATGGTGACGCATGCCTGTAATCCCAGCACTTAGGAGATAGGAGGCTGAAGCAGGAGGATTGCTGTGAGCTCCAGGCCAGCCTGAGCTACAGAGTAAGACTCTGACTTAAAGAAAAGACAGACAAGACAAGACAAGACAAGACAAAAAGATCTAACTGTGCAGTGTGGAATAAGTAACTAGAGAGAGCAAATCCTATGTGACAGCATACAGAGAACATAGGAATCGTAGTCTCACCAACAGCCCCTCAAATACAACAGCACACAGCA